TTTGAAAAAAGTAACCGATGGTACGAAACACCTCACGAACGTACCAACACATGCCTATTTTCAAGTTCCCCTACTCCTCTTGCAATTGTGGGCGTAACATGCTCCGACCGCTGCTCGGGGCAAAAAAGGGCACTCTTGCTGCCTGCGGGTCGCCTGCCTGAGCGGCCTTGCCTTAAACCGATCTTTCTCAAAAATAGCTGGTTTTATGAACGGTCTAACACACTTTGTACTCTAAATCTATTATTGTAGCGCACTCATTCATGCGACTCGACGATGTACGCGCGGCGAGGCAGGTATGAAGAGTCATAAAACTCTTGCCTCGCCACTGATTGGGCGGACGAATGTGCGAACATAGATATATAATAGGGTTTTTTTTTTGTCAAAAAGTCAGTTTTTACTCGACTAGCTTTGACAGACGGATCGCAGCTATCCTGATCCACACGCACCGAGTAAATCCTAAGACACTATACATCGTTCAAAATAAGAGTAACCTCGCTCTCGGAACGATTTTCGTCCGTTCTGCGCATAGACAGAGAGCGTATGCGGTTAAGTGGGGGTTTGGACGTTCTAGCCCTACCTTAGGCACGTTCCATGCGCGAAACGAGGTTACTCTTATTTTGAACGATGTATAGCTCTGACTACGACAAATCTGAGCAGAAGGATCCTAGTCATCTCCTAAAAACCTTTGCTCGTGCGCCCGTCAGGTCGTGGTCGAGTAAAAGTACGCGTTACACTGCTTATTTAACGTTCTACAGACAGGAATATTCACACACTCGCCCATCTCGATAATTCTTCCAAAAATCACGAAATTAACATTAGGAGAGAAATTTCGGTGTCCAACCAACGCTGCAGTTTCCCTCGAACTATTTTTCAATAATAAAGAAAAACGAAAAGACAAATTGCATAATGCTGCTCTCGAGTCGTTTACCCTCGGTAGCAGTGACATAAGTAGCCTAATCGGAAGAATAAGAACGTAGGCGAAATCGAGTACAATGCACAGGTTAGCGGTAAGCTAACAGAAAACTGCGCAGGTACCGGATGCTTTTATGAATAGGCTCATTGTGCGCCAAGGGATTGGGTCTGAGATAACTGCTTACATACGCTCATTACATCCGGTCCACATGTATGTCGACACGTTGAAAAATGTTAATTACTATAGCCAAGAGAATGATCCTTACGCTGTGGCGCAACTGTGGTCTTCTCGAATCTGACAGCCGCCAAATTTCTGACGATTCGAGGTTTTAAACTGCTCCCCTATCTCGCGTCGAAATAAATCAATCTGTATTCAGATTGGCAGCTTGTCCTTCTTTCATCTCCAGTGATTGTTCGTTGTTTAACATCGAATAATTTATAAATATACGCAAGTACGAGGATTTAAGAATTTCAGAGTAAAATTGAGTTATCGGTGTGAAAAACTTCATTGAAATTTTCTAATTACTTAATGAAGCATGCTTTCTGGCGTGTTGCTATAATAAATTGTGCTTTGCGGGTATTATGTGGTATACGCTGCTTTGACGAGTTATCTAACGTCCTTTTGATTATCTTCCTCAAAGACTCGAACAGTATACGTCTGCAAGATTGCATATTTCCAAGTTGGAGTCGCACTGACTGTATCTCTCAAGTAGCTTCGAGTGAAATATTAGAGATTCTGATGCCGACCGAAGAATGCGTTGAAATAAAAATCTTTCTGTATATTGTTAAGTAAAAGCAAGAAAATAAAGGTAAGCTCTTGTTTTTAAATGTACTTAGATTGCAACGCAGAAGTATAAAAATTCTACCATGACAAATAATATATCGAAACATTATTATTTGCCTGAAGAAGTTAAAAGTGTACTGCATTATTAGTGGCAATTTCCTTAAACTTCAATTCAGTTTAAAAGACAAAATGCAGAAGTAAAGATTCTACCATAATAAATAATCTATTAAAAAATTATATAAAATTGACGTGTAGCCACACTCGACAGAATAGTTCAAAGGGCAGAGCCGGTTCTGGCCACGCCCCCTGACTCCTCCCTCATCATTGCAGTCCACCAGCGGATTCATAAACTAACCAAACCCATGGGAACCTAACATTCCATTCATATGACATTTCCATGTACTTCACAGGAAAAAAAAAATCCACAAAAATATTTGATACATTCCTTCAATTTTATTCTTTAGCCTGCACTATTGGTCGCCCTACGAATTTGGCCACGCCTACTAGAACCGCCCCCTGTCCAAGTGTTAACAAAGAAAAACGATTGCACCTTTAACTCACACGTTAAACGTATCTATAAATAAATCGTTAATTGTTCGCGTTGTATATGAGATGGAGATAAAATACTGTTTCTCGAAATAACCTTTCTCCGAAGACAGTTGCTGATAAATGCCACGTTGCAATTAAACTTTTCGCGACGTTAGATGCAAACGACGACGAACAGCCGTGCCTGACCTAATTGGTCGCAGACGAAATGTCAGTGGTCCTTCAGCTTCGCGACTCGTTGGACCTGTAACTCGATTAATACGACTGGAAAGACAGTACATAGCCGTGTAACGCGGTACGTAATCGGCCAGGTTCCATCGTGCGTAACAAACGACACGGTGTATACATGAATGATGAAATAATCGATTTCGCAGTAACGACTACGCCAGCTGGTAACATTAACCCCGTAACAAAAAGTCTCGAGCCTTGATGTGCATAATTTAGTCAATCGTCTGCTGGCACAAACTGACTTCGAGTGCTGCAAAATGTTGCAGGGAGAACAGTTTGTGGCCATCAATCGAAATTCTCCTTTAGGCATGCTGTGAAAAATGCTCTGAGGTATTTTGCGTTATTTTAACACCAAGCTTTTGTATACTTTGGAATTTTTGATTTTTAAATTGCACGTGTGAACGTGGAGATATGGTACTCGGAATAATTGAAGGATTAAGGAGAGAATGATTAGGTGTCAAATTGCAATTCGACGCGTACTTAGTATTGTAATAATAAATGTAGATATTATTGATAAAATTCGATAAAATAATTAAATTACAATTGGGTACTTTATTGAAAAGTAATAATACAAAATGAGTTAAGAATGGATTCAAATTAATTCAAGTATCTAAAAGAATAATGTACATTTAATTTTTTTATATAGTAATTATTCATATAGGATTAATAATTTCAAGAATAATAACTGTATTATAATTAAGAATTTTAGGAGGATGTTTAATAATATTATCACATGGATTATGTTCATCTGGACTATTTTAATTGATAAATATCGTTTGTAAAGGAAGAAATAGTCGACTTATAATTTTCAATAAAGGAATAATATTTGTATTAGGTTCTGATATGGTTCTTTCACTCAACTGTAATCATCTGTAATCTATGTGAAAAGAAGCACAGGTCACAAATTCATACTCCAGCCACCAAATTCCTTCATTCAATTTTCATTATCCTTCACCTGTTTCTTTTTAAGGTCTTAAGGTACTTTATCAAGTTTTACAAAAAAATGTCTAATTTATTTATGATGACCACAAACGAGCACCCGCGGTCTGATGCAGACAGTAACAGATATTGTCTACCAGCGATCATTTGCCCACTCAATGTGTTAAAATGTCAACGACTAAATTCTACTAATACTTCATGCGAAATTAACACTAATATTTCCATATTAAGTTTTCAAAAGAAAGTTTTTAAGGAAAACAGTTTTGAAGTTTTAAGGAAAGAAAGAGAATATATAAAAATATACACTACTACTTAATTAGATTGTTTTTATACATTTTTGTTTATTGATTATTTAAAATTTTAGTTAAAATGTATTAAACGAGAATGATAAACTTCACTCTGTTGAGTTCGATGCAAAACTTTAAATTTGACTGAACGAAATTGAAATTTCATCGACGTGAACGAAATTAATTAAATTGCATCGTAATTTTACACTTCGCGATTATGCACTGGGAACACACTTTAACCGCACCTGACGGGTCAGTTTTCTCTCGAACGGTTCCTCTGGGACTGACTTTCTCAAGGAAAAATACGCACTTTCGCCTTTCGCATTCACACATGCGCACACTCACAGCTTCTTGAAACTGAACAGATCTCTTGTAACTTAAGGGGGAACGTCACCCCGAGGCTTCTAAAACTATACTCTGTCCAATTTAAGAATAACCTCGCTTCGCGCATGGGACGTGCCTAAGGCCTAAACAAACTCGGTCCGAGAGCGAGGTCATTCTTAAATTGGACAGAGCGTAGGCGGGGAAGGGCGCCCGCCAATGCCCGTTGGCAGATCTGAGGGCGAAGTTGCGGGCTAGTGATGTCATATGCATTAAAGCTGAGTGAGGGAAATTCTCCTTAAAACGAGTAATGGTTATCACATACATACTTACATACTGTACGTTGTTGAGAAGATGACGAGCGGAAAGAATGTGTATCTCATTGGTGTATTGGACACACTGATAAAGTCGGATCACACGCATTTTTATTAGACACTAATCCATCGCGTAACGGTGAACACCAAAGGTTGAACGAACAGTTTTGATCGTCATCTTCTCAGCAACGCGTAAAATACGCACCGTTGCCCGAAAGGGCGTGACTTATTGCCCACCGATTTTTTACGCCCGGGGGAGCTTAATACGCTGCCCGTACGGGCAATGACAGAACGGCACTGCCCTAAACGAAAGAGACGGATTTCTATTTACCCACTAAAAACCTTAGGGACTGCCCTCATTGGGAGCGCTATGAGAAGCCCAAGATACCCTTTCAGATGCTTTCGGAATTCCCTTGTGCCAAATCTTCCAACCCAACGAGTGGGAGGGGCTAAAATCGGCTCCGCCCACACTAAAATCTAACCACGCCTAGGTCAACAATCGCCCTTCTTTTCGGTCACCCGTGTGGTACTACAAAAAAAAGTATCAATGCAATGTTAGATCTTTCTAACTTCCATTCTCTAATTATAGTTAATAATCGGTGCTATTATAAACTTTTACAAATAATATCCAGCTAATTTTAACGTCAATTATTATGATTACATTTGCAGAGGGTAAAGTGGAGGTGTCACGTGATGGGAAATATTTGAGCACACTGGCTCCAGGGAAGGTGCTGGGTGAGCTGGCAATTCTTTACAATTGCAAGAGAACAGCAACGATAACAGCAGCTACCGATTGCCAGCTATGGGCCATCGACCGACAATGCTTCCAAACCATTATGATGAGAACTGGCCTCTCGAGGCAGGCAGAGTATACGGACTTCTTGAAGAGGTAAAATCACTTCTGTTCAATAACTGTACAACTGCCACATTAACATTTTTACCGGTGGAAAAATGAATGGATTATTATTAACTCGTGCAATAGATTCGTGACGTTTATTAATGTGCCATTTAGATCAATATTTCAAACGTACCTTTAAATAACATTGCCATATTTTTTTATCACCAAACCGAAACAGATGTAAAAAAAGAGGACGTAAGGAAATCTTTTTGAAAAAGTGCACTTTTATTGTAGCAATTAAAAAATCACATAAAATGAGAATTAAAATGGTAATTAAAAGTGTAGCAAGAATCTATTTGGGTGCCAAGTCATATTTTTTTTTATAGATAAAACTTTCTTAAGAAATGTTTTATTATTCTTAATTTGTTCGTAGAATTCAACTTTAGAGTTATTTAAAAATCAAGTCACTTATTGCACGTTATTGGAAATAAATATTCATAATGTCATATGTCAATACGATGATGATCATATGAATTGATATAAAATCTGATATTATCGTATAAATAGATATAAAATCAACAGTAGTTCTGATAGTGAAAGCTTCAGCTTTAATAAGCCAATAAATTTATCCTTAAGTGTAGCTGCTGTGTATCTTCCGCTATATGAGCTTAAACAAACGAAGTTTGAAACATAAAAGTAGAACAAACTTTAATGTAAAGTTTAATTCTCCTGCTGTTATCACATTTCGTAATAACAGTAAATATTTTACCCTTTTTTAACGTTATCATCAATGAATAACCAATCTGTAACAAAAGTACCAATCCGTTCATTCAGAAAAATAAAAATTCTAATCGTTCAGTTTTTCTTAAATTACTGTTACATATTTGTAGACATTACACTCTTCTATGCAAGGTTAGTTGCTAATAAATTAAGCACACTTGTTCATATAAATCACAAGAATCTCTTAGATAAGATAAAACACCATTTTATTGCATCAAATAAATTTGGCGAGATAATTGTGCACTATGACAATTTTATGCAACACTATGCACAAAACAAAATGGAATTATTTAATGCGGAATAAACAATCTTTGAAAAATAAGTTTTTGAGTGACTATGAATATGGATTAAAAAATCTTCCAAAGATAACTTCTTGAGTGACTATGAATGTGGAATAAAAAATCTTCCAAAGATAACTTCTTGAGTGACTATGAATGTGGAATAAAAAATCTTCCATAAATAAATTTGTCAGTGACTATGAATATGGAATAAAAAATCTTCCAAAGATAACTTCTTGAGTGACTATGAATGTGGAATAAAAAATCTTCCAAAGATAACTTCTTGAGTGACTATGAATGTAGAATAAAAAATCTTCCAAAGATAAATTTCTGAGTGACTATAAATATGGAATAAAAAATCTTCCAAAGATAACTTCTTGAGTGTTTATGAATGTAAATAGGATAGAAAATCTTCCAAAGATAAGTTTTTGAGTGACTATGAATGTGAAATAGAAAATCTTCCAAAGATAACTTCTTGAGTGACTATGAATGTGGAATGAAAAATCTTCCAAAGATAAATTTTTGTGTGACTATGAATGTGGAATAGAAAATCTTCCAAAGATAACTTCTTGAGTGTTTATGAATGTAAATAGGATAGAAAATCTTCCAAAGATAAGTTTTTGAGTGACTATGAATGTGGAATAAAAAATCTTCCAAAGATAACTTCTTGAGTGTGATTATTCAGTTGTTCGAGAACTTTATGAGATAATCATTTTATTAGGCGATACAACTCAAATTGAATTGTATTAGTAGTTTCGAATGAATGAAAAGAACCGTAGAATATTTACAATTTTCTGGATGAACGGTATATTATTTTCAATACGAAAAACAATTGAAAATACGTATCAATGTTTACTTTTGAAAAATACCCTCATTTTTCCCAGAAAACTTTCTATTCTCGAATACGATATTTTCACGATGCAGTTTGCAAACTTTAACATCTTTCAGTCTTTTGATCTTGTAATTTATCAGTCAAAGAATTTTTTTTTCATTCACTATACCTTTAGCCAAAAAATTTCCAAATATTTAGAAGTTTCCCTTTGGGTGTATTAAAAGACACGTTTTCGTTATTTAGTAAAATTTTTCACAAAATAGTTGCTCCTAGAATATAACTATTTTCTGTGGAAATATCAAAGTAACACAAAATAAGTGATAAGTTCAACCTTGTCCGATTTTTAACTTAGACCACTTTCATAATCACCAGCAGAATTATAGTCACGGTGCAGAATAATCACTCAGAAATGGTTTTTAAAGAAAACAATGAACCAAGTTAAATTGATGGATAACTGGCCGACGTTTACTGAGAAAGCCATCTGTGTATATAATAAACAAGATGAATGGCTATAACAGCTTCCCGTTAACAAATATCTCTCGCTTTCTCATGTTTTCTTCATAAAATACGAATGAAATAAATCCCATTAATCACGAACAATATGAAGAAACCTCAATTCAACCGTTTCAGATCGAACAAATTTTTGTCACATCTAATCCTTCTGACTTCTTCATTTTACAGTTATGATAAAAATTGATAGCACAATTCTTTTAACCCTTTGCAATCGAGTGAAAAAACGGCACTAAATAATCATCACTTTTAATATATAATTATCATAATAATTACTTAATCACTAAATAATTATCACATAATAACTATTTACTTTCTTATTTAATAATTATCACATAACGACAATTTTACATCATAATTATCACTAAATAATTGATAGAGATCCTCTTAGAGCTAATATTTTCCTGATATAGCAGATCTATGGGCTCCCATAAATAATTCACCATATATTAGAGATCTGTGCAAACTCAAGAATAGAAAAAAAGAGGGTAATTACGGTCGCTTAATCTAAAGTTGAAATAAAACCAAAATACACGGTGAAATACTTATGAAAAGTCACTTTTTACAAACTTGAACTATCAAACAATTTCTACAATACAAAAATCATTAGTTACATATTATTTCACTTGATAAAATTAACAAATGAAGAAAAAACGGTTTCTGATTATTCTACCTATTAATTACATTTACACGAAATATTGAAATAAAGTAGTACCAGTTCATTTCTACGTTAGTTTGAGAAAATTTCAAAGAAGATCCAATTTGCAATCTTCTCCGCAACAAAAACACTTTCGATTGCAAAGGATTAATCGTCGTGAAATTTCGTGAAGTTAGTTTGTTACACGATTAACAAGGATTCTTTTGTTTCAGCGTTCCTATCTTCAAGAATTTGCCCGAGGAGACTTTAATAAAAATCTCAGACGTGCTGGAAGAGGTAATCTTCGACGATATATTTCTTCATCGTTGTTCTTCATCGTTCAAAGTGTTTAACATGCTGTGTCTATGTTGTGCATATCTTTTTGTAGACTTTTTACAACAATGGGGATTACATAATCAGACAAGGAGCAAGGGGAGACACATTTTTCATAATAAGCAGAGGGCAAGTGCGCGTGACGATAAAACAGCCTGACACTCCGGAAGAGAAGTATATCAGGACGTTAGGGAAGGGCGATTTCTTCGGTGAAAAAGCACTCCAAGGGTAATTATTCTATTTCGTATCATTATTCGTCCAGTTTCAACCCTTCGGGGACGATACACGTGTTCGCAAAACACTGAAAGCAATCAACAAACTCATATGTTTAGCGATAATTATATTTGATTATAATACATTCGAGGAAAATGCAATCTTAGTATAATTTAATTTGAAAAAAAAAAAAAAAAAAACTGAAGTTGCGACACAATTATGTGTTACGCAAGTAACAAGTATTTAAAGGGCTAATAACACTTTCATTGCTATTGAAGTCTATAGGCGATTTGAAAGTTTCCTCACACTGTGCTTTTGGCGCCTTTCTCGCGTCACTTTGATCTTAATTTTGCACACTTTCATTTTAATTTAACAAAACGAATTTGTGTAACAATAGGGCAAAAAAGAAAAGATTTTGTGGCTACGATTGAATATATCTATCGTTTACTAGAATCTGCCGCTGCGAAAGGGTTAAAGCGGAACAGGACGTTTAGTACCACTCCGTGTCTAAATTTTGAAAGTGTTTAAAAGTGAAGAAAATTTCCATGAAATACAGAAAGTGCAAAAAAATTCCAAATTACCGCCAACGTTTCAATAGCCAAGCATTGCAGTTCAAATTTTGAATCTATTTTGAATCTTTTCGAAGAGTTAGATCACCCTTGAATTTCGAAAGAATTGAACTTTTTGTGGCGCCGTCGTTTTGAAAAAGAGTAAAATAAAAAAATACTCCTACATTCTTCAAGAATAATACAATAGAGCCCTTGTGGAAATTTTTCAATTGAGTTAATCATTTTCCTAAAAGGAAATGCCAAAGTTAAGCATCAGGTCTAACCCCTGAAGAAATGTGAAAGTCTGCTATTCTTATCGTTTTGTAATCGAAACTGTTCACAAATTTCTCAAGCAAAATTTCTATGTTCACAGGGACGATCTCAGGACGGCTAACATAATCGCTGACGATCCGGAAGGAGTGAGTTGCTTGGTGATAGACCGTGAAACGTTCAATCAGCTAATCTCGTCCCTGGACGAAATTCGTACACGGTACAAAGACGAGCTCGTGGAACGTAGGAGGTGAGATTCTGACCGTACGAATACACGGTTCGCAATTCTGTTTGCGCGCCGATAAAACGCGACGTTCTGACAAATAATCGCGTGAAATCTCGTCGACGTTAATTATACACATACCCGTAACCATGATCGTGAATCGTCTGTTAAATCCTGCTCTACATGCGTGTGTGTTATGTTTCACGCTTGCCACTAGGATGGGAGAATAGAGTGTACGATCTCAAAGTAAGTCTCGCGTTACGGTACAGGCCAACGCTAATGATTCGACAATTAAGTTTAACGTATCGCTGTTTTTCTTTTTTAACGTGCAATTTGCATTAATGCTGCGTCTCTCCGAATGAAACCTCTCTCATTCGTGTCGAGAATAGACAAAAGAAAAAGAGAAAAGAAAGAAGGAACACCGCGTGGAGAATCAGCGGTGTAATCCTCACAGCGCGGCATAAATGCAATTCAAGGGCATGGTATATCATGATTGTGTGTCATAAGAACACTCTACTTAAGATATTCAGCATCAGATCATTCTTAATCCTGTCACCTGTTAAACATCAAATGATAGAAATTAGTCTGTCTTAGTTCAGTTTTATTTGCTTCACTGCAGCATGGTAAAATTAGCAGAGTATCATTTGAATTATATTGCAATTACAATTAATCTGAAGGTAATTGGTCCCCGGAGACCATTTAGAGATAAACTATATCCCTTAGCTACTCCATCATACTATATCTTCCCTCTGATTCTGTTTTTTATTTTAGAAACAGTTTGCATAAAATGTTACACCATTTCTTATGCTTTCAAATTCCAGAAGAAAGTGCTGTTTCAGAGATCTTTAATTTAAACAGCTTTATTCAAGTATCGATGCTTTATATTTAGATAAAGAATTATTGTGTCACTTGGTTCTTTTAGATACATCATTTTGTAGCTTGAAAATAGTTGTGAATCCCTTTAAAATAAGACATTTGCAGATAATAACAATTATTAGTAAAAGAAAATAACTCTCTGCTTAAAATTTCATACCATTTCTTATGCTTTCAAATTCCAAAACAAAGTAGTTTAAAGACCTTTAATTTAGACAGCTACGTTCAAGCATCAATGCTTTACATGTAGATAAAGAATTATTTTCTCACTTGACCCTATTAGATACATCATGTTGTAGCTTGACAATAATTGTGAATTCCTTCAAGGTGAAACATATGCAGATATGAATAATTATTAGTAAAAGAAATTTACTGGCTGCAAAATTTGCTTGCAGATCATTTTCATTCATACTGTTATCAACACGTCATTATTAAAATTTATATCTAGCATTAATGATAGATTAGCTTTAGCTCGTAATAGGAGACACAAAATAAACAAACTTTTACTATTCAATTAACGTTTTACCGCAGGTTGAACGAGGAATTCAGAGACCTGAGGCTGCAAGATCTTCGACCATTAGCCACTCTAGGTGTGGGCGGTTTCGGAAGAGTCGAATTAGTTCAAATAGCCGGCGACGGCACGAGATCCTTCGCTCTGAAGCAAATGAAGAAAGCCCAGATTGTCGAGACGCGGCAGCAACAACATATCATGTCAGAGAAGAGAATTATGGGCGAAGCAGATTGCGATTTCGTTGTGAAGCTATTCAAAACGTTCAAAGATAGGAAATACCTTTATATGTTAATGGAGGCTTGCCTCGGTGGCGAGCTCTGGACCGTGCTCAGAGACAAAGGGCACTTCGACGACAGCACCACGCGATTTTACACCGCCTGCGTTGTAGAAGCGTTCGATTATCTTCATTCTAGGAATATCATATATAGAGATCTCAAGCCAGAGAATCTGTTACTCGATAGCCAAGGGTGAGAGAGCTTTTAACGTAGATTTATATGCAGGAAGCAGTGGAGAAAATTTACTATGCTTGGCTTTATATAAATTGTTCTGTATACAGGGTGTTCCGATTGATTAGGTTAGGTTAGGTTAAACTTCGTCAGTATGTTCTATAGGAAAAACTGTTATGTAAACATAGGTCGTCTGAAGCTTTGTTAAAAAGTTAGAATAAAAATATGAAATACGAAGAGAATGGTAGCGAACTTGCGATTGCTAGGATACTAGACAACAATGGCACTAGCAAAAGTTACATTCAACACCTTCAACGATGTCAGATCGTAAAGACAACTTGCATATCGCTGATCTGTTTCTATTTTGTATCGTAACCTCACATCCGTTACCATGTCTGTTATGCCTTTTTAATAAAGCTTCGAATAACCTGTTTATATAACATTTTTTTCTTATATCCACAGAATATACTGACAAAGTTTGATCGGGAAAAACTGGGACACCCTGTATACATAAGTGCCACAGATTCTGTCCCTAACAAAGGTGACTTTACATAACAGTAAATTGAAACAGAATATGTAATCTTTTAACATCTTTTATTTGTAAGGTGTATTGCAATGCAAAAATTGTTAAAATATTCAAAACGACCACCTTTTGTTTGCGTACATTTCTTTAAACAATTTGGCCATTTATATCGCTCCACAATATAACTTTTATGGGCATTAACTTATGTATAGAATCAAAAAAATCTGCAACGCTAATATTTCTTTCAGGTACGTAAAACTCGTCGATTTTGGTTTTGCCAAACGTCTGGATCACGGAAGAAAAACGTGGACCTTCTGCGGGACACCTGAATACGTTGCACCAGAAGTTATTTTGAATAAAGGACACGATATCAGTGCTGATTATTGGTCTCTCGGTGTGCTTATGTTCGAACTTCTTACGGGCACACCACCGTTCACTGGCGGCGATCCAATGAAAACTTATAATATTATTCTAAAGGGAATAGACGCGATAGAATTTCCAAGGTCCATCACACGGAATGCGACAGCATTGATTAAAAAACTGTGCAGGTAATTTAAATTGAAACAACTAAAACCTAATTTGAATAAAATACGAAACTATTAGTTCAAATTGAATTGATTAATAATAATGTATTACTTCAACAGTTAGTTGCACACAATAATTTCATCGTTGAACTAAATGAATCCTTTAAGAAATGTAGCAAAATCGTTAAAACATTCAGAAGCATATCAAATATTACTTAATATATTAATGTCCAATAATATATTTAAAATATTCAATAGATACCAAGCATATCAATAGTTCATTTATTTAGTAAAATGCACATTAAAATTTAACTAAATTCTATTTTTTTATTTCTAAGTTACACAGTATAACCATATGACATCATTTTTACTTTGTTCATTCATTTGTTTCAAGGGATAATCCAGCAGAGCGTCTTGGTTACCAGAAAGGTGGCATTAGCGAAATTCAGAAACACAAGTAATTATATCAAATATATAAAACACTTAATTGAGTTAATTAAATAAGCATTGACCATTTTGTTTGTTTTGCTGTATAGATGGTTCGATGGTTTTAACTGGGAGGGCTTAAGAGCAAGAACCCTTGAACCTCCAATCTTGCCACGAGTTCAAAATGCCACCGATACAGCGAACTTCGACGAATATCCACCGGACTCTGATCCACCACCACCCGACGATATATCCGGTTGGGACAACGATTTCTAATAATTCTAAACGCTCGTTCGAAGAAATTGTTGATACTGAGAAAGAAAAAATGTTGAAAAGATTCGATTCATGTTTAAAGAATCGTGAGATAGTCGAATGATAAATGAGAAACGTGGCCTATCGGCGTCTGCATTTATCCAACAATCTAAAATCATGTGATGCATAGATAATCATCTACAATAACATCGATCATCGTAAAATATAACAGGAAGGAGAACGAAACTGGCCTGTGATAAAGAGTTAGGGCCGCCAAAAATTAGGTTTCCAAGATCCTTCCAGTCTGTTGCATTGCCTATAAGTCCAAACGATTTATCATTATTAGCAACGAACGGAGGTAATCTTTCTACCGTACTATCTAGAAAGAGAGAGAGGAACAGGAAATTTCAATATGTCGCTCAGACGACGTATCAGCGTGACTAGAACACGCATCTGATTTAGAAAAATGTTTACACGCACAAGCTCGCGTTCGATAAAATTAAGAATCGAACTCGACATCGTGAGACGCGTACGAGTGCGTCAAGTGCCATACCTAACAAAGGTAAAAAAAGAAAAGTCGGATACGACACGTGTGTACAGAGCGTCAATGCGAACGTGCATGATATGTAGTCAGCTCAAATCGTAAGAGACGTCTTGCCATCAGACTCGTAAAGTCGTGTACATGGTTTCGCGGAACGAACCACGTCGGATTCTCGCGTCTGGTTCATTGTTGTTTGATTTACTTTATAGTTTATTGTAATAATTCTATTTTAATTAATTATGCGAAAACGTGACTCCTGTAAATAATTGATTTTAAATAAATAAATAAATAAATCTATATATATATATACATACATACTTAAAGTCCAATGTATATCGATACTAAATAAAATTTTATTAATGCTAATCGTGCATTATGGATTATTGTCTATTGCTAAGTAATTGGAAGTCAAATTTGAGAATTTCTTGATGTAAATTATGTAAGATGCTGTATAATGAGATACTATATTTGTTTTAATCGCTGTGTGATAACCGCTGCTATGGCGTTTTCAGCATGCTATCATTAAAAGTCATTCACAAGATCAAATGCTGTGGTAAAATATTCTTGCGTTACAGAAGAAGTTCGAAATATTGACCATTTATGTCGATGCAGAGGTTGCAATCTTTGTACATAAAAGTAAGAGTCAATGAATTACAGCATTTACTAGAACAAATCCAATAATGATAAGACGTATCCGCGGTTCTATAATTCTAAAGCAATAATTGTTTTACGATCTTCAGTGACCTTTAATGATGGTTAGGCCGTCTTAAAATTTACAACTAACAGTGTATTACTCTAAATACATTTCCTACTCATACAGAGATCGATTAAAGCAACTTACGCTAAACGCGAGTCAATTCGATTCGAAACAAGACCGTGTCGTTTCTTTCGACGTTTACAGCAAAACTAAGGAAACGCATGATTCCGCATAATGAAGACGGATGTTACTATCGGTGTATACATAATCATTCTTTAATGAAGTAAAACGTAAGAAAACCGTTCCTCGAGTACCTCTATTAACCGTTGTTATTTATAATATTTATAATACAATTATTCAATTATTAAATAAATAAAAAGTTTAGTGTAAAATTTTACTGGAAATGATCTCTGATACTGTATAAATTATTACTGAAGACTTTTCTTAAATTGTTTACTGAGCACATGTTTAAGTATTATAAATATAGACTTCGATTCAGTGCACAGTATAACATCTGAAACCTGGTTTATATTACAAGAAAAATCTACAATTTTTACATATGCAGTTCTTTATCATCACAGCGAGATTAGAAAGAGAACACTTAATTTAAAACTGGACATACATATAAGAAGAAATTGCATGATTTATTCCTAAACTATGTCAAAATTAATGCTTTTATCATACCTGTAACATGGTCTGCACTTTGGCAATGAGCAAGACAAGGAAACCGATAGAAAGAAACAAGGATAACATTAATTAAACGAGTTAGACAAGGATAGAGAATTTTTCAAACAGAACTAATGCCATCTCGTGTTTGGCTGCGCGAACTAACGGCTCGTTACTAGGAACACAGAATGTGAACAGAGGTATTAGACAAGGAAAGCACTAGTGTGCGAGAAGGACAGAGAGAAAACGTTTCCTATTGGTCCACGGGCCGTTTCCAAAAGAAGAATCGCGTTTGCAACTTTGTTGCCGCGGGTCGCTCCCGAAAAATGCACAATGTTGCAAAACGGAGCATCGTGCAACAATGTGCAATTTTCGAGAACGATTTGCGGCAACAAAGTTGCAAACCCGGTAACGCGTTTGCTACAATGTGCTATAGTACTTAGACATTCGCGCTCTGTTCACGTTCATTTCCAACTACACAGTTTTACTAGCAAATTGTTGCGCGTTAATGATCAATCTTCCGTGCACTACCTGAGTCCCCTATCCCGAGTAGATTCCTTAAATGGTCTGGCTCAAAAAGAGGGACAATTATCGGTTTCGCAACAAGCATATTGCGATTCATAATACCGCCCTAATTTTCCAGATATTGAACATTATTCGGGTAAGTACTACACTCGTTCCGTCATTTTCATGAATAAGCATGATTTATTGTGCACTTTTAAAAATGTAGAATGTAGTATAGGACTTTAACTATATTCTACAATCATTTTGGAATGTGTACTCGAGTACGATGAATAGGGGACTCTCCCGAATAATGTTTAATAACTCCTAAACTAAACCGAATATGTTAAGGTGGTGGAATATGTTAGGTAGCTAAAGGTGTTACCTTTCAGATGAATGCAGTTAGTTGCATGAGAATTTAGTAGAAAATTATGAAATTATTGGAAAACCAAAGGTATGCGGTATCGTTCCCGACATCCCGTGATAAAATTGTTAATAACTAATTATCGAACGGGTCTAGTGCATTAAAAACTATATGTGAAAGTTGCTGAAGGTGCACACTTCATTCTTAAATCCTAAAGGTTCACAAATTCATCCTAATTAATGAGTTATTAATGATTTTTCCCTGGCCGACTTGACGTAGCTTAAGAGACTGTTGCATTGTTTCCGATATTAATGCTAATAACTAATTATCGAATGGGTCTAGTGCATTAAAAACTATATGTGAAAGTTTCTGAAGGTGCACACTTCATTCTTCAATCCTAAAAGTTCACAAAATCATCCTAATTAATGAGTTATTAATGATTTTTCCCTGGCCGACTTGACGTAGCTTAAGAGACTGTCGCATCGTTTCCGATATTAATATTAATAACTAATTATCGGGAGGACCTAGAGCCTTAAAACTTATATGTGAAAGTTGCTGAAGATCCACACTTCATTCTTCAATCCTAAAAGTTCACAAATTCATCCTAATTAATGAGTTATTAATGATTTTTCTCTGGCCGGCTTGATTCAGCACATGCGCGGTGGAGCTTAGCGGCCCGTGGGCCAATAGGAAACGTTTTCTCTCTGTCCTTCTCGCACACTAGTGCTTTCCTTGTCTAATACTTTTGTTCACATTCTGTGTTCCTAGTAACGAGCTGTTAGTTCGCGCAGCCAAACACGAGATGGCGTCAGTTTACTTTCGAAATGTAGTTGTCGATTCGCGCATGCGTCTCCTTTACGCGCGTTTTTTAAAGGTTAGGTTTTTTTAATAGTTTGTTAGTTCTTTTGGATATAAGGTTTAGTTCGTCTCTATGTAAATTGTTATTATTGATTTATTGTATAATGTAGAAGCAGAAATATAAAGACCGTTGAATTGATCGAATATATTTATTTCGTCTTAAGATTAATTACAATTACTGCCTGGAAAGAAAAATTCTCTATTCTTATCGAACCCTAATACTTTCCTTGTCTTATTCATTTCTCCTTTACACACCACGTCCACTACCTCTTACAAAACACTAATTGTTTATACAATATTCCAATGAAAAATTAAATAAACTAAGTCCGAAAAGCATTAGGAAATTTTTCATTTCTTTAATATTACTTAGAGTTAGTAGATAGTAAAATAAAGTTTCTACTCTATTTTCAAGCACTTTAATTGTTAAATAATTAGTGTTTCTTGTTACATAACGATTTAGATGATTGTTTATAATTATTGGAAGTCTTAAATAAAATTATCGCATGTTTTTACTTAATAAAACAGCTTAATATATTAATTTTGCATTTAATTAACCATTGCATTCAGTAGATTAGTTGGAAATTGTTTGTAACTTTTATTTAATATTTTAAAATCAACATTTTTTTCGTTTAAATTAGATATGGAGTGTACAGGCCACTACAGGAATCAAGGAAAAGTTTTCAACATTAGGAAAAATGAAGAAATGCAATTATTTAATGCAATATAAGCGTAAAAAATGTATTTTACAAAATGTTACAACATATCAGTATTCTTTTATAACATTTTACAGTCTATTTATTTCACTCTTACACTACCGGCCGAAAATTTGGAATCACCTGCCAATTTACATCAATATTGAATCCGCTACTAATTCTTTATTGATTTGAAATTGATGTTGTGGAGATCAATAGCACTTTACCTCATTTCAATTGATTTGAATGATAAAAAATTACTATAAATGCTAACTTTTTTTTTAAGAATATTGGTGCAACTTACAATGCACAGTGATTCCAAACATTTGGCAGATAGTGTATGTAACTTTTGAACGTACGACATTCAAGATGAGCGGAATCGCAATCACGACGGAGGGCTATTTTTGAGTTGAGTATTTCGTTTATTGTTAGCAACATACTGACCATCCTGGTGAGCGAAATTAGAGTTTACTTTAGAATCACTAAAAATTCATTTTACTCGACCCTGAATAGGTTAAGACGTGTTATAAAGCGAGAACTCCGAAGACAAGGCAAAAGTTGGAACATAACGGTACTAAAGGTCAAGGTGGTCCAGTCCGAGATAGCTACGATGATACTCTCGCATTGTTGCTTTACTTCCACCCAACTGCAAGAGCAGATAACGCCGTAGACACCCCTTCAAAGAAGGAACGCGCTAAAGGCACTAAAAGAGGACTGTGATGATAGACGACACCATTGATGATTGATTAAGGGCCCCGAAAGAGATTCACCGGATATCCATACATAAGTTTCGGAGTTCGTATCATTTAAATCATAAATTTTTTGTTCATGATTCATGTCGGAAATTATTTAAGTTTCATGATAAATAGTCACCGTAATCAATGTTTCAAGAAAAATGTTAGTAAATAAAATATAGATGCTCCAATGCAATAATTACATTTATAAAGCATATATGTTTAGTTAAGTATAATATGAACTTTTGACATAATAACATACAAATTTGTCGATAGTTAGTATAACTTATTAATACTAATACTATAGCATATTAATATAAACGTAAGAAATGTTTGACTTGTATTTTACAAAATAAAAAACATTGTTTGTTATTATAATACTGTGTAAAACTGTATATTAATAGTTTGTGAAAATATATGAGATCTACTATACAAAAGATAACCTAATTAGTATTTATTTTTTGTGCATTTGAATAAGTTTTGGTTTGTACTATGTGACCTTCACAGTCTTAATCAATAATTTGCTATGATATTCAGATGGATAAAAATAACTTACAAGTAATATAATGTATCAACCAGTGACTGATGTGGTTCTAACTGTAAATGCAGCCCAACAAGGGAGGCAAGTTTATGTGCATATTGACAAGGAGCAGGAACTTTTATAGTACCAGGCCAATTGTAGTACAAGTGACAAAGCTTGTACGTTAATCGTTGTATATGTTCGGCTTTCATATTTCTATTGTCATAAACAACAATATAGTGAGTTGGTGATACTGTACCTTCACGAACGTTCTGTGATACCAAGAAAAAATCATAATAAGCAGGTTTTGTTATATAGGAATCTACAATTGTTCCCGGTGGAGGATTCTCTAGTCCCATAGACTAAAACATACATGAATAACTTTCGTAATTAAAAGATACAATTTGTTAATTTCGTTGTTTTCAATTAAAAACTTACACATTTCGCAAATATCCGTGTATTAATGCGTTTGTGAACTACTATCACAGTTAATGTTGGTTGATAATTTTGTTCTATATTTTTAAATGCTGCTAACAATTGTTTTACTTCATATCGAGCAACAGTGTCAATTTGCCCCTCACCAACGCCATCTCGGTATACAATAATGCGATCTGGATAACGCTTATTATACTGTAATGTAAAAGATTTATGTATGCAATGATTATAATAGTAAGACAAAGTATTAATGTATGTCATAAATATTAAAGACTACTTACTTTATAGTAAGCTTTTACTGCTGAAATTAAGCAAATTTGTAGCATATCTACTAATTCTTGATGTTTACCTTGCAAAGAAACTTTACTGTGCCAAGTTGTTAATAATTTATCTAGGCTTGCTACAAAACCTGCAACACTTCCTTTGGTTGATTGACCAACACCTGCATGATATACATCTATTCCACAAATCATGCAATTCTCCTAAGACAGTAACGTTTAATATTTGTATCAACTTCCATAAATTAAAATTATAAATATTTTTTTCATACCATAGGTATAGCTAATGCCCAAAGAGCTCCACCTATCTTACAATTAATTTGTAAAGCAATTTTTTCTGTTATACTCTTTAATTTGTCGCTACGAGAAATAGTTTTGGATATAATAACTTGCGAAGGAACAGGCATTTCTACACAGCATACCCTAGATGTTGAACAATAAAATTTGTGTATCAAGTAATTATTGTAAAGTACACGAAATACTTTACCTCTTTACTGCAGAATATTTATCTGTTCGATTGGTTGGAAATATAACGATCATTAAAGAAACTGTTTGTTGAATGTTGTTCCGTAATGCGTGTACATACGTTTCAATCCTATCATCTTTCAAGGGAATAGCCTGTGGTTCTCCAATAGTCATACCTATAACTTTTGAAACCTTTTTTAACATACCGATAAACTCTTGTGCACATCTTGTGTCTCTGTTACAATATAAGACACAGAAGTGGTTCGAACTGGGCTGAAAGTATGAGAATATTTTAAATACTACTGTTGCATTATTAACTGATTGTAATTCACAAAAGTACGTACAGTCCTCAGTAGAGTACTCCTGCACACTGCAGAACTCCATTGTACAGGTTTATTTGGTGGGCATATAAATTTTGCTCCATTACCAAAAAATATATTCTCAGGTTCGAGAACTCTGCCTTTAAATTGTAATACATCAGTCTCCAAATGTAAACCCCAATCTGCTAATATTTCTCGTGGTACGTCATTATTTTGTATTTCTTGTATAAAATGTCTGAATACATCACGTCGGGCATTAGGAGACATTTTAGTTATTTCATCGAGATCTTTCATTACTCTAAAATCTGAACGTATGCTATCGCTTAAACTTGCTGTATAACATAATTCAGGAACCAACAATATTTGATTTTCTTCTGTCTGTATTTTCAAATTTGTATAATAGAAATAATTGATGATTAAGTTTTATAATTAAATATCTATATCAGTAGATTAAGATTACTCACTTGACCAGTAGGTAATTTGCGTTTAGCACAATGAACTAAAAGTGGTTGATTTCTGTCCTTTATTTCTAAATTCCAATGATGTTTATAATAATGTATTAAAGATATCTTTTCACCTTCTTTATCAAATTCATATGTTGGGTTTCTATCCCATGCAATATCATCAACGCGATAAGTTTTATTATTATATCTTGTAAAAATAGATAGTCCAATTAGTTCTCTCATAACAGCATCTTTAAAATTTGGTTTACTTCCAAACCTCATCCTGTGTTATGATATTGTGTAATAATATGAAATTAACTTTATAGTATTAAGTTTTTAATACAATTTCTTGCAAATCTTACATTATTTCACGCACTGTTTCTGTACGCATAACACGATGCCGCGCATCTATGCATAATTTTAAACCTCCATCATATTCATTAATAGTTGTTACATAACCAGGCCATACTTCCAGTTTATGTTGTGGTACAGCATGTACCCCTTTTGGATTAAAACTATGTTGACCAATGCGAATTAAACTAAGAGCACGCATAACACGGCCAAGTAGGACATTAAAAAATGCAATATTCTCAGACATAGATTGCTGTTTTTTGTATATTAGAGTTAAGTTTACTTTGCTCCCATCCATAGGATGTGTAGATTCAAATATTGTTTTCTAAAAATCATACATATATTTATGCAGGGTGGGACAAATATTTATTCACCTAAAATATGTGATGTAAATACTTTTTGCATGGGTGTAGGTATAGAAATGAGATGCTTTAATTTTTTTATCATTGTGCGACAGTTGCTGCTGCAGCGATTTCAGCATACTACTATTGAAGGTCATTGAAGGTCAAGTGCGGTGGTAAAACAAACTTTCTTATATTTCAGAAGATGTTCGAAGTGTTGACCATTTATGTCGATGCAAAGTTGCAATCTTTGTATCGCTGAATCACATGCACGTCTTATCGACTCTGAACTTATTCCAGCATATGCTACAGCAATCCGTCGTCTCATTTTGATGAGTTTCCCAATAAATGAGGATAGTCATGTCCACTTGTTCTTTAAAAGAAAATTTCATTTTGATTATTATATTTGATATTTGACTCAGCAATCAATTGATACCGACTACCAATATTCCACGCAATGTCATATATTACGTTCGTAGCTGTACGTAATATATTATTAGAGCGTTAATATTGTAGCAAGACTATCCGTTTATATAAAAGTAGGAATGAATGAATTACAGCATTTGCTAGAATAAATCCAGTAATGATAAAACATCCGCGATTTTAGTTTGAAAGTAAAAACAATTGTTTTACAATCTTCAGTATCCTTGAATGATCTTTAATGATAGCATGTTGAAATCGTCACAGCACTGGCTATCGCACAACGATAAAAAGAAATAGCATCCCATCTAAAAAAATTCTTGTAAATAACAAGAATAGTTTAGGTGGGCAAAGGTTTTGCCTCATCCTTTATATCCCTTTTCTGTCTCTATGATCATTACTTACAGCTTCCTTTAACTTCTCTGGTAAATACAATATAGCTCCATCAAACACTCTTGTTCGACCCAATGCTTGTAAATGTTGATTAAGGAGTTTTCTTCTAAGAGGTCGGGAGTCAATATCAGGATTATATTTAACTTCATAATTAAACAACCCTTTTGTAGGATCTAGTTTAAGATTTATATAATTGGCACTTAATTGTATTCTGAAAACCATTGCTATTGTATAATCCATTTTAATTGAAGTTTGTTGTATATATGAGCTATAAATGCTGGTTATACTTACACTTTACCACCTGTTCCTTGATAAGAAACTGTTTTCTCTTGAGGTGTTTTATTTTCTTGTGCTGTAATATCAGATAATTTTCCCAAAACTCCTGCATCATCTGGGAGTGATGCAGGTACACTTGAGGGCTTCTCCACTAAACTATAAAAATATATTTTTTTCTGTCATTCAAATGCAAAAAAATGTTTTTAGTAGTATACTTTTACA